TGCTCAAAAGATTTTTAAAAGTTTCATGGTAGGGCATTTTGATTCTGATCTTGCCACTAAACAGCTTACATTTAATGCACCTACCAGCCATGTAATCCATATTTTTCAGCTGACTCTTGCGGCTTAGTTACAAGATCTTGTTATAGATTTAGTAATGGTCATTAAATTTTTTCACTGACGCAGGTTGGCTATGTAACTACGATTTGCTTTTCATGCTTCCTCATTAGATGCATAATGGTGAGTATCGTATCTATTTGGCTAAATTAATAGCTCCAGTATTTACATATTTGAATCTCCATGCTTTTGTCATGTGATATACTGATATTTTGATCAACCCAAACTTTACCTAAGAATAGTATATGCACGGAAACATTGTCATGCACATCTATTCCATCGAATGAAAAAATGTGATGTGATCTAAACTTTTAAAGTTCAGGTCTGATTTAGTCTGGTCCTAGAGTTTTTGATCTTGCCTAATTTATGGTTATTGGCTTAATATATATCCTCAACAATCATCGAATTTACAAATTTGACCTATTTTCTAACATAAAAAAACTAAACTTCAACTTTTTTCAAAAAATTTACTCCCTCCGTACTACTAAGATTGTCCCATCTTTACTTTTCGGTCCGTTCTACTAAGATGGCCTCATACCAATTTTGATAAAGTTTGTTTTATTCTTACTTTATCAACCAAATAAATATACTTTTCTTAATAATCGCACCACTTCTTCATGTCCCAATGTTAGTGGGACGGAGGTAGTATTTCTTTTTCACATTTTCCCATTTCTTTCTATTTTTAATTCGAGAAAATATTATTATTTATAAATATGTTATGCAATATACTTCGTATATCATTTCTAAAAAAGTAATTTTCTAAAATTATACTACCTCCGTCCCATAAAACTTGGCCAACTTTCCTTTTCTGGCTGTCCCAAAAAACTTTGTCATTTTTACTTACAGTAAAAATTATTCCTCTCTCCTCTGTACAAACATGAACCACATAGTTTTTACTTTATTATGCAACTTTGACCAATTTGTATGGGACGGAGGGAGTACAAAGTTGAGTTTACATTTCAATTTAAATTTAATAATGAATGGCAAGTCTCAATATTCCATATAAAAGTTAAAATATCAAGTTCTAGTTCGCTTTTGTTTGTGCCAAATTTGAATTTGAACGTAAAAGATCGAGGATTTAAATTTAAACCAGCAGAAGTTTCAAATCTTACCATGTTTCAAGTAATCAAGTTTGAAGTTCAAGGTCTCCATTTCAAGGGAGTACTAACCGAATTCCCAAGTTCTAATTTCAAGTTATCAAGTCACATCTTGCCATTTATATTATAAGGGAGCCTTATGTAGAATGTAACTTGTTAAGAATATATGGTGCTTAGTTTGATGGGGAGGCGTAGAAGTGTATTATGTGTCACGTTTTCTAAGGGGGTTGTGAAGTTACACTAGGCCAGCCTTGATCAATCCATGGAGATTAGAGCAGCTCTAGAGACCATTTGTCTTGGATTTATGTTAGGTGGTGTCTATTAAAGTGCACCCTTTTTTCTAGTAAATTGAATGTGTTATAAAGAAAATCGCAACTTCTGTCAGTCAACACTATCTATGGGTGGTATAGGAGTTTGGTTCACCCTTTTGGTGAATGTGTATGTGTGTTCGAATGATATAAATGATATGTAGTACGGAGTAATGAACAAGTAGAAATGAAAAGGATTGATTTAGATTTTAGTATGGAGTTTCTAAAATCTAAATTATGCCCATGGGCACTTCATAAGAAACATCAATGAGTATTTTATGTTTATAGTTATCCTAAAGTATCCTCGACAATCGTAACATCTCTATATATCTGAATGGTAATAATGTCAGTTCATTATTTAAGTTTTTATTATTATTCTTAAAGTTTTGAAATTATCTAGTTGAATTTGGTTGCAACTTGAAAATGGAGCACACTAAACTCTTTTATTATAACTCATAAGCACATGTTTAGATGAGATTTTTACCTTGGAATGGGATGCAGTGAATCCCGGGTTCAGCATTTAAGATGGAAGGACTGAAACCTTAAATAAGAGGGAAGGTCTAGGAGTACATTTTATGGAAACGTCCCGAAATGGCACAAATTCATCGGATGATGAAATTTTAGAGATTTTATCATATTCCAATGAATGTATGCCAAATAGGATTTCAAATAGGATTGCCTAGATACAATGTACACTTATAATCTTTCCATACTTAATTCTAAAAAAAGTTTGGTTCCGGTATCGGGACAAGTACGTCCAGAGTTCTTTCTAAAAACATTACATGTATTGGAGGTATTGGTACAGTGCCGGATCCCAAAAAATGTGAATCAAACTGAAACCGTTTATGTAGCTGGTCCTGGCCTCTGCTCTTGGTCCAGTCTTAGAGACCAGGGCCTAGAACACAAATGTTGAGTACCTTAGCTAATACGTGCAGTGCTTAAATTATTGTTATCATGCATGGTTGTAGATGCCTTCTCTTATTTTCCTGACTTTGTTGCAGACTTGCTTTGATGCATTTGATGAAGCAGCGGATCTAGATGTTTTAGATCACCCAATTTTAAATTTAGCATACTACCTGGTAAGTGTACTGGTAATTAATTTTAATCAGAGAACAGAGCAATTATGTTGATGTTCTTTTATCACCCGATGCTAAATTAGTGTACCATCTTCATTCAGGGGTGAGTCTATATATATATGAGGAGTGTTCTAATGAGAACCCTTTTTAAAATGAGAACTCATTTATAAGTGAGAACTTTTAACCTCCACCATTGATATATCAAATCAAGGGTTAGAATCAACAAGGTGGCATTTTTTTAATAATTTTATACGTAGTACTAATTACAAAATGACCCGTTTTAGTTTTGAATAAAATGAAAGTTTGTGATTAAAAGTTCTCATTACAAGTTCTCCTTTTCATTATATATAACGAAAATGTGAACTCCTTGTAATGAAAACTTTTAATCACAACTAACGAAAATGTAACGAATTGGTTATGTGTGAACCTGGTGTTTGCAGTTGGTGGAGATACTACCGTCTTCCCTTGTGCTTTTCATTTTGAGAAAGTTGCCTCCAAAGCGCGGAATTACACAGTACCATCTGATTCGCTGACAGACACGGTGGTGTGATGTGATGATGAATGACTGGACCGGACCTTAGTATAATGATGATGGGTGCCCGTTTTACTTGGAATGGACTTGGCCTTTTATGATGCCGGTCTTACTTGGAATGGATGGACGGGATGATGGGTTTAGAAGAGAAAATATATATATTAGGGAACACTATGTCCTAAAGATATGGCAAACTGTAGAGGATCCATTTCATGCTGTAGTTTTCGTTTTTAGTTTGTATCTGTTCAATAGAATCAATACCTCATCCCCATGGGGAAGAGACAAGGAGAGGAAGACATGTACTCTCGTTGCTTTAGCTGCTGCGCGTCTTCACCACCACGTTTGTATAGTGGCTTTATATTCTTTTCACTCTTCACGTTTGGATACAACCGACCTCTTATGGTTTGCTAATTCTTCATTCCATAAAAGTTTTCCCCGTTGATCTCAGCTATAAATAAATATGATGATAGTATTGAGGAGGCCATGCAAGCACGTTATTTCTGTCCACCCACTATTTTGGGTTGTCCGTTTTAGGAAGCCATAAGTGTGTGGAGAAAACGGGATGAGACTAGGATATAGCAGATTTTCTTGCATGACACATTGACACCTACCTTTTTCTTGCATGATTTCTTGCGTGATTTCTAAAAGAAAAAAAATCATTTGTACTGTTATAAGTCTTATAACTAACTGACTAAGACAAATATTGGAACAAGACATTGTTACAAAACATGTATTGTATACTTGGTTTTCTTGGCTAGTTGTTGATGTTACTTAGTGGTTACGTTTTTCTATCATACGGAGTATAAGAATTTACTTTGGAGTTAGTGGAGTATGTTGATATTGGAAAAAGTAGGGGAAAAGGGGCAAATAAGCTCACGTACTAATCAAAAAAGGTCAAATAAGCCTTTATTTAGGAGGATCTGTCCGCCGTCGTCATTTGGACATCTTATTCATTAAGTCTAGTTTACTCATACCAAATTTCACCTAAAACTTCAACCGGGAAAACATTCAAATGAATTCTTGAAGACAATTGCGCAGTTATCTTCAAGAATTCATTTAAATGCCTTCTATATTAAAGTTTTAACTGAAAATTGGTATGAGTAAACTAGACTTATTGAATAAGATGCTCAAAATATTTCATCAAAAAATTCCACCGGTAATCACCCCAAATGGCGACGGCCGGACAGAGCCTCCTAAATAAGGGCGTATTTGACCTTTTTTGTTAGTACGTGGGTTTATTTGCCCCTTTTCTCGAAAAAGTAGTGTTGGGTTGAAATGACCGGTAAAAAAAATAAAAAATGCACCTTCTGGAATCATTATTAGTTTATTAAAACTGGTGAAGTAAACACATTGCTGCTTAAAAAGCTGCTTATTAATTCAAATAAGTGGTTAAAGTTTCACTTAATAAGCATATCACCTACATCAATTAATTAAGTGACAATTTGGCTCTCAGTCGTTCCTTGGCAAATAAATCGACTTATGAGCAATTCTTTTACAATACTGGTTCTTAATAACCAAATTGCTACAATATTTACAATTAATATCAATGATTCTTTGAAGTGTTCGAATAAGGGGTTGTTTGGATCTGATTCTTAAAACTGCTTCTGCTCCCTGAATGAGCAGAAGCAGAAGCTAGAGTGTTTGAATGAAAGTGCATAAGTGATTCTGGTGCTCATTTTTACTCCTAGAATCAGTTTTTTTAGAAGTTAGGGGTGACCAGCTTCTGAAGATTCTGATTCTGCTTATTTTAAAGCAGGAGCAGAATTAGTTCCAAACACCCCTAAGTTTGCAATATTTATTAAACCGCTCCCAGAGTCCCAGCTGTAACAGATACGGATGCAATATTATTGCGTGGGCATTGGGCAATAGGTCGGGAAATCTTGAACGCTTTTTTGGGCAACTTTTCCCTCATGAGTCATCACTTTGAATTTCTCATCTTTGTTACTTTTGTTCCTTCAGCAACAAATAAAAAAGTTCTCCGGAAATTGACCGAATGAGTGATCGGAAGTACTAAATTTAAAAAAAGAATTGAGACTTATAACTATTCATAGATTTATAGAAGTATCTAACTCTATACATTAAAATTCTTAAAAGGAACATAAAAGAGACACATTACAGACACTGTCACACTGTTCCCTTAGTTTTCCAGAAACACCCTATAATGAATCATACGTCCCATCTCTTCTTCACACGGAACATCAGGGCGGATGATTTAACATCATCTTGTGGTACTTGAAGCATAAATTGGACTTTCATTTTCATAGGCACCGACTTTACTTTCCCGCTTTCATTTCCAACCTGTACCAAGACAACTTGTGGTACATCAGTATGTATGCAAAAGGCAATGTTTGGGTAATGTTAAATATACTACACTATGTATTCATGTCTAAGGAAAAAACTGCAAGGCATCCCCTTTTTCTACTAGACAGATGAAAACTTGCACATTGGTTTTCTAATACAGCTACGGTCCACTTGGAACTTATACACTGCTACAGAAAGGAAACAGGGAGGAAAGTAGAACGTATACTTGGAAAGAAAGAAGATTAGGGGGGAAATAACACAATAAATCAAGAATAGATATTTGTTCAAACTCTTCTATATGAGCTCGAAATTCTAAAAAGTTGCATTCAAATTTGATTCTCCTTGTTTTCCAAGGTACAACCAAACATTAAGAAACTTTTTCCTTAGAATCTGCTTTCCTGACCATTTTTTGTGCCCCAAGAATAGCCTCAGTAAGAAAAATAAAAAATATGATAGAACAATAGAACATGCAAGTCAACGAACCTTAAGCTATATTTTCAGTTTAAAAATAGAGGTGAACTAGTGTAGGAATACATACCCATATAGATGCCCATCCAAGTCGCACCTCCGAATCATAACCTGCTTTCAATTTGTAGTCTTTTCCAATTGTGTGTTTGTACACAGTGCTCCAGTCATTTGTATCACAATTATACCAGTAACTGAGTCAAACAGCAGAAGAAATATCTAAGGACATGGAAAGATAAAAGTTCGAATGGTAAAGTTTTTCTTCACATAAGTGAAAATAGAAACAAAAAAAAGTTCGGCAGCAGTGTTTGGCTTATTTGGAAACAAAAACAGGGTTTGAAAAACTATTGATAACTTGCTTTTTTATTTCATTGTTTCTGAACACGTTTCCAGTATTTACTACGGACTTACATTCTGCATAAAAATTACTACATATATACTTTCATGATTAACAAAAAATAAAAAACATAAATCTATGTCAGATTTATCAAGCATTTTTATATTTTAGAAAAAACTGTAAAACGCGAAACATCATCAAACTTATCTTACTGCATATGCATGTATAATAGGACTGCACAGCAGACAATCTTGTACTCTTGTATATAAAAGAGAATATTACCCGAAATAGGACTAAAAAAGTTTCAAAATTCCAAAATAGGACTTTCATGTTTTTATTCCCGAAATAGGACTAATTACTGTCATGTTTTGGCAGTACCACACTTCAAACATGACATTATTTTTCAAACTTGGCAGTAATTACTCTTATTTTGGGAATAAAAACATTGCAGTCCTATTTTGGAATTTTCAAACTTTTTTAGTCCTATTTCGGTAACTTTCCCTATATAAAAATGTAATTCCAGTAGCATTGACAATGATAGACACTTATGCAATCAAATACATCTAAATGAAACACAATTACGTCTAATTTTTTGGTTTCCTGCTCTGCATTCAGAGCTAATTGTGCATCACATTTAATTACAGAGAACAGAGACAACTATTGAATCCATCAATTTGAATTAGATGTCTACTAAGATATAAATGATACTGCAATATTAATCCTGACTCTTTCAAGAAGTGAAGGGACAATAGGGTGCTATGGGTGGTCCATTTTTTCATACCTACTATCATGCAAGAAATTCTTGGAGTCATTGTCAAGACCAGAAGTCCATTAAAAAATCGAAAAACCAGAGTATGTTAGACAGAAATAAGATATTACAAGCAGAGGCCGGAGAGAAGTAACTTCTTCCACAATCCACTGAGTTGCCCACAGAAAATACAGGGAAAGAGGAAGTACAAGGTTACAAATTTACAGCCATCTTATCTTTTTTTAAAGCTTCCTAGAGGCTAAAACTATAAGGTCATGTCCAGTTCAAGAAATGTTAGATTACCTTGGAGAAGTTATGGGTATGTTAGCAAATGTATTTAATTAATTTGTGTACCATTTGAGTTTGGTTAAGATGAAGGGAGTATCACATTATTTTGTTTGGTTGGCTGCTATCTTATACCGCAGACTTGGTGAATCACTTTAATGCCCTCTGAATAATTTCCCCTCACACAGTAACTACAACATTAATTTAAAATAATTAAACTTAAAGACAAAACAGGAGTATCTTAATAATAAATTTTAATTGAATTACTTTTTAAGAAAATAAAGTTCAATTTGAATAATGACAAAGACCCACTGTACATCATGCACCCAATGAAAATATATATTGACATATATTAAATAAACGATTTTATTAAAAGGTTAAAATATGACATTTTGCTGACGTTAAAATTCCTGAAAGTTATTTTGAGCTGGTTCCAAGTACGTTCAAATGCCTTAGTCAAACTACATAGGTTGTGCAAATTGGGATAGAAAGGTGTTGGGGTATCAGATCCAATGACGGGCAGGCCCAAATACCGTTAGTAGCCCAATCAGCATGATGGGCTCAGCACTCACGTTCGAGATGACCAACTCAGTCAAGTTACCCATCTGGCTCGCGATGTACCTTTCTGGACGGGATGGAACACTTGTAGCTTTCTCACAATAGGATATCTGATATCCTCTGCCAAGAAATTGGCTGGAAACCACAAATTGAAAAGGGAGAACATTTAATTCACAAGATATGGAGGATTTTATGGTTGGGGATTAGCTAATCAGGGCACGCCGCGTCACCTCCCCCACCTACTACCTTGTAGTATAAATACTCACATTTATTTCATTGTAAAGCGTTGGCGAACTTGCATTTAATAGCTTAGTGTCTTTCTGTAAACTCTCAGCTTAGACTAATCCCGGGCTCGATAAGGGTGTGTTGTAACCATTCTATATTTATGAAATAGAAATTGGCGCGCTTTACCTTCTTCCTTGAGTTTTAATAGTGAGTATTAAAACGATTCTTCCTTGTAACGATTCTATATGTGAGTATTATATACAGTTTTAATTAAATACAACTAACATAGGCTGACAAACAATACTAAAACAACTATTTAAACTTCAACTACTAAAAACATTTTTGTGCGATGCATATCATTTTTTGTTAAACTACAACGGGTAGAATGTCTAATCCATTCCCACGTCAAAATAAATCATGTTATTTTTATTTTTAATCTTTCTTATGCTCTTTTATCTTTTCTATGTTCTGATGTTATTTTTATCTTATATTTATATTTATCATATTTCCATCATTTGCAATGGAGCCAAAGACTCACTATTTTTTGGCTTGGGAATATGATGGAACAAAGCAAAATGGCTCACTAAACTGTTTGCGCTTCTTTGTTATGAAACAACAATCAATCCATGCAATTTTCGACGCAATTTTCACTATGAGTCATTCGGAAACAATCTCTCTATGTTTTGGTACAGGGGTAAGCCTTTATGGCACTGGGGTAATCAGGATGATTTATCTTTATCTTACTTAATCTTTTTATTCTTCTTATCTTTCTTCTCTTTTTTGCTCTCATATCATGGATCGATTCATTTTAGCCAACCCCAAAATCTTTTGGGAATAAGGCTTGGATATTGTTGTTTGTTGTTGTTGCTACGTCACACATCAAGTCACTTGATCATGACAAATGACTTTAAAGCATACAGCTCCACACTTCCACATAAAACATGATTAGAACAGCAATCACAGATGTTACAAAAGCTTCAGTTTATTCATGAGCCAGTTTTTATCAGGCAGCATGATATGCAATTTTCAACTGATTCCAAATCTGGTTGTAGTCCTCAACTATAATAGTATTTCCATTTTATACAAATATAAAATATTACCCAACTATCCAATTGAACAACTTGGTCCACCAACAATTCGAAAGACACGGTAGGGGCATTCTTTATGGTTCCATAACCAACCATTACATTCCTATTTTGGTCCAATTTCTAATAGTGTACTAACTGTACTTACAATGTTAGTAATGACCAACATCAACACGCTTCAAAGGTGGATCACTACAGTACCCAGGTAATGAAAATGGGACAAAACCAATCTTTTTATCAAACCACGAATTGCATTCCTTAACAACTTTATATCCGTAGAACCACAACACATACATCTTTTTTTGTCATTTTCCAATTTCAGACAGCCCACAAACCACCTTTCTCTAAATGGATAAAGCCTAAATGTAGAACAGTAATGGTGTAGAGAGAAAACCAGAACTAATTTAAAATTTTCATTGGTGTGAAACCCTATCATTTACAGATTTACATGCTGAGGAACATTTAGTGAAACATATGCTATAAGTTGAAGGATATGAAGAAAGGAGCTCACCTCAACTTGTCTGAGGGACCAAATCGACGCTTGAATGCAAATGAAAATGTCTTTGAAGGCAAGATAATACGAGGAATAAATGTCATTTGCTCATCCTGCAAGAAATTGGGATAATTAGAATTGTCTAACATTTTAATATCCTGCCTCCTAGGTGTGGCACACAATGATTAAAAGATTCATATAGTTACAGGTAAGAGTATTTAACGGGAATGAATTTGTGATCTTAAATAGCTACAGATATCAACTAAAACAGTGTTGCATGTACAATAAAAAAAATCGAGAAAACATAAACTAAACCATTTTGAAATATTCGCGCCACAATCTCTACTTGCTAGGGATGCATTTATTGATTTGCGTTCTTAAAAAGCAATAACAAATTAAGAGAGAGGAACAGAAGTACAACTCCAGAAAAAATGGGATAAATGGCAGGCTAAATGCAACTCATGAAATCTCACCACTGTACATAAAAGTGTGAAACTAATACTGCAAAGGCAGAACAAAGTGGAATAAAAATATAAATCACCTTATATTGGTAGCTTAAATCTACTGATTCATCCTTATACTGAGCAGTGCAAACTCCATTCAAAATATGGCCTTTCAGGATTCCATTTATGGAGATAGCTTTTGTAGCTTCCTCTTCCTCTATCTCTTTATCCTGTAGTGAAACTTCACCATGGGGAAACTTAAAGGTTGCTCTTGGCTGTATAATTAAAGAAGAGATACATAATGACAACAAATTAGTCACTGATTAAAGATAAACACCGCAACAGCGATGAATCCATCTCAGAAGGCATGAAAGTATTTACAGTTCAATATATTAATTTTGTCTAATGGTCCTAGATTCCTAGTTTTAATATAGTGAAATGCTGGATATTTTTCGTGGTGGATGAAATGGATATTGTTTTTTTGGAAGTAATGATCAAATGAAGTGAATATCATTGATCCATGCATGTGGATGTCAAGTAGAAATTCTTTTATGACTACAGATTTCTCATGCCAAGCTCTTGTGAACAACCAATGAGCAAAAACAGATACTCAGTCTGAATATATTTGCTAATGAATGGATACCCTCCCACTAAACTTGGATCAATTTTCAGACTAGTGGTGTTTACATGTGTATTGGGATGCATACTTATTTCCTAACAGAAGTAATCAATACAAAGAAATTAAGTAAAAACATAGGTCAAATTGGCCACCATACAATGCATTTTATACACAAATGACAAATTACAATAAGTGTATATACTATCCTCCGTTCTTTAAATCTTGCAACAGTTTGACTTTCACGCTTGCCGATGCATAACTTTGACTGTAATTATATTTAATTATGTATTAGTAAACATGATAAAAAGTTGATATCTTGGAAATTCACATTGATAGGAATTCAATAACATTTTATACGTAATAATTTGATTATGTATATTAGTAGAAAATTGTAGTCAAAGTAAGGTCTATGAATAGTGCAAAAATGACAATGTTGCAAGAATTAAAGAACGGAGGAAGTATATGATATAATCATGAACCTGTAGAGAAAGAGAACGTTTGGAGCATGTATGCCTATGTGTATTTGCAAATCACATTTCTAAGAAATCATAACCACACTAGAATCTCCCCAAGGCTAGTGAAACATTGATGACACGGAAAGGTGTTAAATATATGGTGTAACAAATAGTATTCTAAACACTTCAAACAAATGGACTCGCAATTTTAATCCTCTCGGCTATAATATTTCTACTAAAATTTCAGAAAGAACCTAGGATTAAAAGTGAGTACCATAGTGCCAAGAGCCGGAATATTAGAAGACAGTTCTAATTTGTAGGCAGGACTGGCAAGGTCTGCAACCAGAGCCACTTCTCCTTGTTGCGCCTGAAACAATACAATAAGAGAGTAAGGAAATGGATATATAAACAGGATGGATAGTGTTAGAGGCTTGGTGCATTTTAATATAGGAATGAAGAAGGTATCTGGTGAAGAAAATAATCTATACATAAACTTCAACTCAAGCTGGAAGATAGTTGATAATAGCAGCCCAATTAGAAGTCAAACTTGAGCTGAACAATAATTTAAGTAAAGACCTTGACATCGTGAATGGCCTTCAGTTGCACGGCGGAAGTGACGTCGAAATTAGCCTTGACAAGGGCATTTTGTTCTTCTACGTCGTAGTGTATGGACAAGTACTTGGAATTAATGTCCAGCTGGGGCTCCGAAATCTCTCCCTTGCCGTTGTTCTGGAAGGACAGCTTCACCTTGGCAAAGCTGTCAAGCAGCTTGCAGGAGATTTTGTGAAGGAACGCAGTGCTGTCACTGTCATATTCCGACGTCACTCTAACAGGCGGCCGCCTGTTCTGAAGCCATTGAAGCGGACCAAATCCTCCGCCGCCGGCTCCGTCGTTAGGTGGAGGAAGAAGAGAATCAGACTTGACCTGAGCTGGAGGCGGTGTAATGGGAGGCGAGGTATTGAGAACAGACAAGGCGAAGTTAGGGTTTGCAGGCGACGGCGCGTGAATATGAAGTTCCGATTCCGCCATAGTTTTTTTCAGTTCCGAAGTCAATTGAAATTTGAAAATGAGTGATAATTTGGATGAGCGAGGAGTGGCATTTTGGTCTCTGGATGACAGAGGCGGCAATTCACACCGCATGGAGACTTTTCTTTTTCTATTTTGACATTTTTTATTTTATTAGAATAAAAAAAATGCACCGTACATGGAAAGGAATTGCCAAAAAGAGGACATGGCCCATGCAGGTCTCGAACCTGCGACCTTCGCGTTATTAGCACGACGCTCTAACCAGCTGAGCTAATAGGCCACGACGTTTAACAAAGGACACAGTACCTATAAATCGAGTACAACGATATCGGAAGTAACAATTGAGAATTAGAAAAATAAATTAATTTACTTATTACTCCATTAAATTATGTTAGTGTTTTATAATTTGTGGTATGATGAAATCACTGTTAGTCTTCCAAAGAAGAGGTCATAGATTCGTGTCTCATCCTGATTAAGAATGTTGTACTATCATGAACAGATACCTTAATAGGTTTAAGAGAATATTTCAAAATAAAATGTTTTATAATCGCATAATCCTCTCCAATATCATTTTTCCTCCAATATATTCTTTTTAATTTAGGTGTAAATTATCCATTACAATATCATTCTTTATCATATTACTTTTTCTCACGGTTATTTTTTGTCCCCTCCCTTACTTATCACAGCTAAGTAACAACAATGATCTCTTTTCATCATGCTCGTTTATTTCATTATTTTCTTTAAAATAATGTTCTTCTTTGATCTGTTCTATCAAACAAATCAAAATCATCTATTCTCTGTGGGAATTCAATTGCAAAAGATATTATGCAAATTGGAGATTTACATCCTTGTACTCCTTTCGTTCTCTAATAGATGACTCTATAGCTTTTGACACAAGATTTAAGAACAAATTAATAAGGGTGTAAGATAAAGGAGAAAATAATAAAAATACCCAACTTTGAAGGGGTGTGAGGTAAACAGCTCAAACTTGCTATGTAATTTAAATACCCTAAACTTTATATAAAAAATTATTTTCGCACCATTGTCATGTATTATTTCTTTCAAAAATGTAAATTTAATAGGGTTAATTGCATAATTTAGAATAGCAAATCAAAAGTATGGCAATTATATAGATTGGGGCTATTATTATTTTTTCGCAATGGGAGTTTAGAATTGATGGACAGTCTACCCGAGGGGTATCTTATCCGAGGGGTTATTGCGGGAATAACTTAGAGAGAAGTCAGAGCAAAATAGGAGGAGAGAGAGTCGATTTATTAAATGAACTCAGCGTGTAAGAGATGGGATCTGGGATCGTTTACAAGGAGAAATGGGCTGCTATTTATAGCAGCAATAAATGCGATGAGAGTACACGTGTCAGTAATCCAATGGCCGAGGGGTCACATCAGCCGGCAGTGGTACGTTCACCGCATTGAATGCGGTTGGCGGATGTGACGCGACATTAAATGCGGTGGTTGGCTGTCTCCAAAAGGAATCTTCGATGACTGAGCATGTTTGGCCGAGGGCTCCTTGTGTAGCCGAGGGCTCCATGTGATCAAGGACCCCAGTGTAGCCGAAGGCCTCGTGTGCCGAGGGCTTGATCATGCCGAAGGCTCATGTTTTTTGTCGTTTTCTCCCAGTAGCTTCTTATGCCAGAGGAGGCTATCCTGTGAGTTTTGGAGCCTTCGGCCAAGGAGGCCGAAGGCACCTCAGTGTGTATTCTGGGCTACTTTAAGGCTTGGGCCGTTGTATTTGGGCCTGAGTTGTTCTCTGGGCTCAATGGACTTGTGTAGGAGAAGTAGGAGTCTATGGGCCGGGGGTTCCTGGGCCATATACTCCATCAGGAGTCCCTCACTCCTTTTGCCGAAAGGTACTTGAGGGAAAAGGAGTAGATTTGTTGATTCTTCTGGAGGCTTCATCATTTATTTGGGCGCCTTTGCTTGAGAACTTGCCTTCTGCTGATTGCCGAAGGCTTCCCTCAGTCCCTCACATGTCGAGGGTTTTCTGAGGGAAGTATAACACCTGTATGACTGCCGAAGGTTTTCCTCAGTCCCTCACATGTCGAGGGTTTTCTGAAGAAAGTATAGATGTATTGCCCGCATGTGTTGTGATGAAGGCTGCTTCACTACTACAACTGATTTTCTGCCGAAGGGGTTTATTGAAGTATGTACCCGAGGGTTTCTACTTTGATGTTTGCCCGGAGGCTATATGCGTTAATTGTAGGTTTTGCCCTGAGGAAATTTTGTTCTGTATGATGCCCGAGGGGTGTATCCTAGTCCCTCACTCCTTTAGGCCGAAGGCAAGTTCGGGCTGAAGGAGTTATGATGTGTCGATAAGCCGAAGGTAACATTGATAAGCCGAAGGCTTATGCTGCTACGGGCTCGAAGGCGCTTGGTGGAATTCGTTGTCTGAAGGCTGTGGTGAGTGATAACCGGAGGCTATCATTCGAGGGCACCCCAGTGTTGCCGAAACATAGTCGTTGTAATATAGCCGTTGGAAGAGGAGTTGACGTGGCGTGTCCTCGTTGGCTGAAGGCGGGCGGCTGCCATCCATTGGCTTAACCGGCGGCCCGTAATGATGGGCTTTTCAAACTGAGGCCCAGATTTCGAGGCCCAGTTGCCTATAAATACCCCTTGCCCCAAGCCATTTTCTCCTGTGCGTTTCTGAATCACAGCGAAGCTCTGCAAAAAATTCTAGAGAGAGAAACTTCAGCCCTCGACCGAAATCATCCTTTAAGGTCAGTCCATCCTCCTGCTACTCGCGTACTTAGCGTTTTTTGCTATTCCCCTAGATTTAGTGTTTAGTGAATCCCTAGGAGCCTTAGGTAAAACTCTTTCCCTGCGAAGAACATGTCCTCCGATAGTGACTCGCAGAATATTTCGAGGGCGCCTTCGGTGCAATACGAAAGCACTTCGGAGGTGGAGTCCTCGACTGGACAGTCATCGGCTGGCAATGATGTCGCGGTAGCCGAGGAGGTGCAAAGTAATCTTCGAACTGAGCTGGAAGCGGAAGAATTCGAGCAAGTGGTGGAAGATGAGGAGCTTGCTCTCGCGCTTCAAGTAGCCGAGGAAGAGGAGGAGAAAGAATGGCTGAAGGTGACTGTCGTCGTACTCCCCCTTCGTGGTGCTGGCGAAGCCAGTAGCTCCCGGCCCCTAGATCCAGAACCCATCAGCGTCGCCCCAGGAAAGCGGAAGAAAAAGGTGGGGGCCGCCCCAAAGAAGAAGAAGGAGGCCGCAGTGGACGCAGGAAAACCTGTTGACATCCCCGAGGGCTACTCCTACTTGAATGTCGTCGCTCTAGCTTTGAAATCGAGGGCCCTCCAATCAGAGTACCTGACGGCTCAGTTCCTTGTCGGCCCCCAGGGATGTGTTATCGAGCCGAAGCCTGATGATATGCTTTCCCAAGCTCCCGAAGGCTGTTTTGCGGTCCACCTGCTGTCCTTGGACCTGGGGCTCCGATTCCCTCTTCATCCGTTCCTGATAGAGTATCTGAGGTTCGTGAAGCTGGCCCCTTGCCAACTTACTCCCAACAGCCACTCATACATTGCTGGCTTCCTGTCCCTCTGTCATTCTCGGGAGATTGACCCGTCGCTAGACCTGTTCTTTATGTGCTTTAACCTCTGCCGAGGGGGGCACACACATGCTGAGGGGTTTGCCAACCTGCAGTAGGTCCCGGAGTGGAGGCTCTTCTCCGAAGTCCCGTCTTTGCACAAGGGGTGGAAGGACAAATTCTGCTATGTTCGGATGGCCGTGAACCCCTTCCCGGAGCCTCTTAAAGATCGTTTCCGGAGGCACTTAAAGGTGGGGAGTGCTGCCCTTCAGAAAGCCGGGAAGAAATTGTCAGCCAAGCCCGAGGGGTCGGATAAGCAGATAACTATCAAGAGTGCCACCCTCCCGGATGAGCTATACAAGTTGGGCTTCATGCGTTACCGACGTTTTGGGGAGAAGGACGAAAGATATCCCCTCATCGACATGGTTCCTCAAAGTGCCGGAGGTTGTTGCCGAGGGTTTAACGTATTTGTACTTAACGCATTTTTCCTGTTAGGTTATAAATCTAACTTCTTTGTATTTTGCAGGGCCAGCCATGGATCTGAAGGCTATCACCTTGCTGAGGAACAAGCTCGAGAAGGAGCAGAAGAAGAAAGTAGGGAAACCCTCCTCTCAGAGGCCTGTCAACGACTTTTTCCAGACAACCGATGCGATCAAGGCCCCGGACGGCGAGGGGTCTTCAAAGAAGGAGCCTGCAGCTGACAATGATGCGGCAAGATCTGATGCCGGGGGCTCCGCAGCCGAGGGGCAGAAGAAGAAGAGAGCCGGGAAGGGCGCCGCACCCCCGGAGAAGAGACAAAAGAAGGGGGTCGTTGAGAAAGGGGAGGCCCCCCTTGTGATCCTTGACGAGCAGGCCCCGGTGGTCGATCCCCCTCGCTCTCCCCCGACCCATACTGACGAGGATCTTCGGGAGAAGGAGGTTATCCACTTCCCAATCCAGAAGGGGACAGCGGTGATGCACTCCACCCTCAACCCCATTGAGTTCAAGAGGGGGTGATGTCACCGAAGGATAGGCTGGTGCTATCTCGCCTCGAGGACGACGTTCTTGACTACAAGATAGCCAGTTACAACACTATGGTGAGTCTTCCATTCACTTAGCCGTTTTATTCATTCACAAGCTTTAGATCTGCTAACCCCTCCTGTTTCTTATCTCTTTGCAGGCGGCCCTCGGATTTAGCGAGCAAGCCCGGGGGGTGGAGGCGCTAAGAATCGCCAAAGGCCAGGCCGATGAGGGCATGAGGAAGCTGGCAGAAGAGCTTGCTGAGGCCAAGAGGCTACTGGTTGAGGCCAAGGACACCCTTCGGCTCGAAAGGGAGTGTGTGGCTCAAAAGCTCGAGGAGGCCAAGGCTGAAGGAAAATCAGACGCTGAGAAAGTTGCGGCCGAGGCTGCTAAGAAGACGGCTGAGGAGGCTGAGAGTGCGAAAGCTGAGGCTGTTTCCCAGGTTGTTGCCTCCTTCATTGCCGAGGGGTGGAAGGATGTGGAGCGCAAAGCTTGGAGGGCTCTCATCGTCGGTGCCGAGGTTGATGAATGGGTCAAGGCCCCCGGCTCTGAATGGCTGGCTGCGAAGGGCAA